GGGAGGCACAAAGGAATTTTAGGACAATGAAACTACTCCGTATGATACTATAATGGTGGACATGTGTTATCCATTTGTTCAAATCTACAGAAGGTACAAGCCCAAAAATGAACCCTAGTGTAAACCATGGACTTTGGGTGATTACAATGTGCAAATGTAGGTTTATAAATGGTAACAAATGTCCTCTCTTGTGGGGGATGTTCATAGTTGGGGTAGCTATACATATATGGTCAGGGAATATATGGGAATTTTTTATACTTTAGCCTCAATTTTGCTGTGAATCTAAAACTTCTAAAAAATAGTCATTTTGTTTAGAAAAAGAATACACAACTCATATGAATAATAAAAATGATGTATTTCAGAGGTAGTAAATTTGTATAATGCTTTTGTTATTATTAAATAAAAGTCAAGGGCTACATGATAAGATTCACAAATAGATAGATTAGATTAGGTAGATAGATAGATAGATAGATAGATAGGTAGATAGATAAATAGATAGGTAGATAGGTAGATAGATAGATAGATAAGGACACGGGAACCAAATTTTCAATCTGAGGCAGAATATTCCAGAGTCCTAGCTCTCAACATGAAAACCACTGTTTTTCAAACTTCGATAATACCTCAGTATCAGGGGAATTCAGATGGGCTTTAACCAACATTGTTTAAAGAAATGTAATAGAAAGTAGCCTGAATTGCATTTAGTAAGAGATTGATTTTGACACTTCTGTGTCTGCTGTTTGTGCATGATGTGTATACTGGTCATGATGAAAAAGTGTGCTTTTTAAGTTTCAGAGCCCCTGCCCTCTGCTATGCCACCACATTTCTTATGCTTTTCTGGTGCATACTGGCTGGCTGGGTGATTCAAAGAGCAAATGAGGGAAAATATCCGCAAGATCAAGTTCTCTACTGAAATGTGTTCTGATGAACCAAGCAGCGTAATGACAGTCCTGTAGACTGTGGTTGCGGGGGATGGGCAGCAGGTGCTCCGGAGGCCCAGTAGCACTGCACCTGAGATCGGAGTGCACCCAAAGAGCTCAACACTGCAAAGGTCAGGTGTGGAGAGAGCTCTAGGTGGGTAGAATAAAGTGCAGAGGCCTTAAAGCAGCACGAGAAGAATGAGGCAAGATGGCATTTGGAGAGTCAGCAAGAGTCGGATCATGGACACCTCGTGGAGTTCTTTCAGACAAAAATACTCCCCTCGTGGAGCCCCCAGAGTCTTGGTGTGTGTGTGTGAGGTAACGATTCTGTGACGGCTCCCGCATTTCTATACTAATCAACATGTATGTTGTGATAAGTTTTACCAACTTAGGAAATGCATGAAGAGTGCAATGGCACAGGGTGTGTGTGTGAGAGTTCAATTAACTCCTGTTACCATGCCTGAGAGACATTCAAAGGGGAATATCCGGTAGGCAGAAGATACTCAGATCCAAACCCAGGATTCAGGTCTGAGGTGGAGATAAATAGATGTGGCTGAACACAGAGGAGCAGAGGAACTCATCTGGGGAGAGCAGGTCAAGAAACAAAGAAAAGGAAAGTGTCCTCCTGTAGGGCATGGCTTCAGCGAGGGAGGCATGCATGCAGTCAAAATGGGGAGCTCAATTCACTGCTTCAAATATTCACCCAGTGATATTTTCAGTGCATTATTTGCTTAGCAAAATGTTTCTTCTTCAGAGGAAAAAGGCACATTTCATATTTGCTCTAATCGAATGACAATTTTAAGAAATTTTGTAGAATATCTTTCCCTTACATAATAACTCTTATAAATGAAGGGGTTTTTTTTTTTGTAAAGATGCAATTGTAAAAAGCAATAATAACCAAAACACAGCCATTTAATTATATTTAATCAAATGTAAATCTTGAGACTGAACATTAATTATATGTCCAACAATATTGTTAGTAGGAAAATTGCCTATTTTGCTGGTAAATAAGTACATAGATAGATGTACATACAAATTTGAAATATATATTGACTATAAAAAGATGACCAACAGGCCTGATCCTGATAGATGTACATTCAGTGCTTTAAAAAATAGCAGATAAGTTTCCATTTTCCTAAACTAGACTTTCATGAGGTGAATCATCAGAGAAGGCCACATATCTACTCATTACTCTAAAATTCCTTTAAACGGTTGGTTTGTGCTGATGTTGCAAACATTTGTTTTTCAAGAGTAAATGCTGGTTCTGCTAGAAGCACGCAGGTTCAAAATTTGGTCTCATTTCTTTTTTAAAAAATGTTATACTTAAAAATTTTCCCTTAGGAAGCAAAAAAGGGGAAAAAAAGGTATTCACAAGAGTCAGCCTTCCTTTCCTCCAAGTCCTCACTAAATTGGCTAACATTAGATAGGTGGCATGGATGTGTTACAAAATAGCCATCTTATTAATCCTCCCTGAAAATTCTCACCTTGCCAGTGGTATACAGGGAGGTATCTGTTCTAGTACATTCCTCTGGAAGCCCGTGTGCCTGCTTCACCACCTTCAATCTCTCCCATGAGTTTACTGAAGGACGCGTCAAAACACCGCACTTACCTCTCATCATCGCAGTGCCTGCTCACACAAACCAACAGCTTCCTTTCTCTGGTTCTCCTTTCTGGAAAAAATGACCTGTCTTTCTTTAAACAGAAATTACGTTTCTTATTTGAAGGACCAAATTTTAATTTATAATTTCCTCTAAGATCATAGCACTATGGGAATAAATCCCGTTATTTTCCAATCCTACAAACACTCAGGTGATTCTTATTCTGAAGCTAAACATGATTCTTGCTAGAGTGAAGAAGGCAAATAGTGAATCTGCCAGATTTCCAAACACGTTCTCTTTCAGAGTTTAAAATGCTAGGTGCCCACCTAGTTTGCATGACAATTAAACAACTGAGCTAAATGATTTCAAGCTCTCTAGCTAGAGTATGGATTTGTCCTGTGCTGGGGGAAGGGGAAGCATAGCTTCACCATTCATTCCACCCCACCCCCCTGTGGTGCTCCCAATACTGGATTAGCTGGGAAATATGTGAGATGAGAGACAAACGACATGCAGAGCTGGCCTGGCGGGAATGACGATGAATTTTCACACGCTGCCTTGAGTTTTTATACATCTCCAGACTTCAGGTCATCCGGGATGAGTGACTGTAAATTATTTTGGCTCTGCTGGCCCTAAAAAAATTGCCAGCGTTATTGGCCTGAACATGACAAGTATTGATACAGTGATTTTCTTTAGGATGAATATCGGTGGCCCGGTAGGGGTGGGGGGGGGTGCCGTGAATATGGTAATGCTTTGCAAATAATGAACTGTGGAAACACGGTACCACTTTATGTTACCAAAGGCGCCAGAAAAACTGCAATGTGGAGGTAATGCCGTAATATTTGCAGGGAAAGCACCTGAAAGGAATCAGGATCGGTGATGTACTAGTCCTAAGCAGCTGACTTTTCTTGTAAAATACTCTGGGTGGTATCTTAGGCACTGTGCGAAGTTGCCAGCTCCCCAACGCTGGAGGCTGTGAAGACAGGGATGACGACAGACGATGAATAGGAAGCGGCGGTTTTCTTTTAATTGGCCCCAGAGTATCAGAGACGGGTAACAAGGACTCAATAAAGAAACACAAAGAAAAACGGGTTTCGAGGTAGCACGGCAAGACCACGGAGGCCTGGGGCTGCTTTACCTAAGCCAGCCTGCTCCCTGCGTCGGCCCCACCTTTCCGCAGACACAGGGAACATTTCCACTCGAGACTCGGGATGCACCTTGTTTGCTCTGGTCTGTGCTGCTCAGCTAGCATAGCGTGACCCAGGAGGTGTGGAGCCCGTGGCTAGATTTCAGGATGAGGCTGCTCAGGAGGGCGCTGGTGACCGGGAAAAGGGGAGGGGACAAAGAGGAAGGGGGTGCTGGGAAGGAGAGAGGGAGCTGGGGGAGGGGACGGAGAGGAGAGGCGGCGGTGGGGAGGGGAGAGGCGCGTGGGCGGGGCTGCGCGGAGCTCGCCGGTCCCCTGCCCGCCGCGGAGCCAGCCTCGGGAGTGGCCAGATTGAACGCGAGGACCGGCCCAGCCGCTGCCCGCAGACCGTTACTCCGTCCTGCTTGGGGCGGGGCGCGTGTGGCCGGGCGCAGCCGAACCGGCACCGCCGCGTCTCCAAACGCCTCTGAGGAAGGAGGACACGTACGGAGGAAAAGGACCAAACAAGACGACACAGGGGAGGGAGAAGGGAGCCTCTCGGGCTTTCACTGGGTTTCTTGGCCTTAGAAAAAGAAGAAAAGCCCACGTGCCCTGAAAAGGTGCTGTGTTAAAGCGCCACCTTCCGTCGGCCGGGGGTGCGGCGGTCTCCCTGGCGGGCTCCTGCGGCGCGGGGTGCTGGGAGCAGCTGCGCCCACCGAGGGTGGGCCGGGTTCCCCCGCCCAGCAGGCGGTGCGCGTGCCCGAGGGTGTGCACACGCGGAGCGAGCGCGCCCCGTCGGTGCACAAGCACGAGCCTCCGGGGGCTGGGCACAAAGGGGTGCCGGGCCTCTCCCGGGACCCGGCTGCGTCCGCGCTGGCGCCGAATCCAATCCGGTTAGCCCCGGGCGCACCCACTGGCCGCTGCGCCCGAGCATCCCGGGAAGAGGCGCATCTGTGCACACACGCGGGTTTTTAAAAAATAACATATTTCTAGACTTGCCTCCTCCTCTCCCCCACCCCCAATCTTTGCAAAGCAGCCCAGAGGGCGGGGGAGGGGGAGGGGCCGCGGAGTTAATAAAGGGAGATGGGCGGAGCCGGCCCCCAGCCATTGGCTAGCCCGGGGAGTGATGTCACCCATATGACACCCTGATAACTAGTTGGGAGAGGTCCCCCAACTTTTTGCAGGAGTGCGCGCGCCTGGGAGTGTTCGGGGTCCGGCGCTTGCGGCGGGAGCCACGAGCCGGAGAAGAGGGGTCCCGGGCTGCTCCGCCCGCCGCTGCAGCCGCAGCAGTCACTGTGTGCAGCCTGGGAGGGGGGGAGGGGGGAGGGGGGGAGCCGCGGACGCGGGGTGCCGAGGACTTTGCAACTTGCCCGGGAAGGTGGAGGGGCGAGAGGGGGAGGGGGACCTCCGCACGAGACCGAGCGGCCCGGGTTGGAGCGCCCAGCCCCGCAGCGGATCATGGTGCAGCAGGCGGAGAGCTTGGAAGCGGAGAGCAACCTGCCCCGGGAGGCGCTGGACACGGAGGAGGGCGAATTCATGGCTTGCAGCCCGGTGGCCCTGGACGAAAGCGACCCGGACTGGTGCAAGACGGCGTCGGGCCACATCAAGCGGCCGATGAACGCGTTCATGGTGTGGTCCAAGATCGAGCGCAGGAAGATCATGGAGCAGTCCCCGGACATGCACAACGCCGAGATCTCCAAGAGGCTGGGCAAGCGCTGGAAAATGCTCAAGGACAGCGAGAAGATCCCGTTCATCCGGGAGGCGGAGCGGCTGCGGCTCAAGCACATGGCCGACTACCCCGACTACAAGTACCGGCCCCGGAAAAAGCCCAAGATGGACCCCTCGGCCAAGCCCAGCGCCAGCCAGAGCCCCGAGAAGAGCGCGGCGGGCGGCGGCGGCGGCGGCGCGGGCGGCGCCAAGACCTCCAAGGGCTCGAGCAAGAAGTGCGGCAAGCTCAAGGCCTCCGCGGCGCCCGCGGCCGGCGGCGCCAAGGCGGGCGCGGGCAAGGCGGCGCAGCCCGGGGACCTGGGCGGCGCGGGCGACGACTACGCGCTCGGCGGCCTGCGCGTGAGCGGCGCGGGCGGCGGCGCGGGCAAGACGGTCAAGTGCGTGTTCCTGGACGAAGACGACGACGACGACGACGACGATGACGAGCTGCAGCTGCGGATCAAGCAGGAGGCGGACGAGGACGACGAGGAGCCGCCGCACCAGCAGCTCCTGCAGCCGCCGGGGCAGCAGCCGCCGCAGCTGCTGAGACGCTACAACGTCGCCAAAGTGCCCGCCAGCCCCACGCTGAGCAGCGCGGCCGAGTCCCCCGAGGGCGCGAGCCTGTACGACGAGGTGCGGGCCGGCGCCGCCGCGGGCGCGGGGGGCGGCAGCCGCCTCTACTACAGCTTCAAGAACATCACCAGGCAGCACCCGCCGCCGCTGGCGCAGCCCGCGCTGTCGCCCGCGTCCTCGCGCTCGGTGTCCACCTCGTCGTCGTCCAGCAGCAGCGGCAGCGGCGGCGAGGACGCCGACGACCTGATGTTCGACCTGAGCTTGAATTTCTCGCAGAGCGCGCCCGGCGCCGGCGAGCAGCAGCTGGGGGGCGGCGCGGCGGCCGGGAACCTGTCCCTGTCCCTGGTGGATAAGGATTTGGATTCGTTCAGCGAGGGCAGCCTGGGCTCCCACTTCGAGTTCCCCGACTACTGCACGCCCGAGCTGAGCGAGATGATCGCGGGGGACTGGCTGGAGGCGAACTTCTCCGACCTGGTGTTCACGTATTGAGGGGTGCGCGCCGCCCGCCCCTACTCTCGGCGGGTGCAGAGCGGGGTTCCTTGGGAGGAAGCCGTGGCGGTCCTGATGGTGGTGGTGGTGGCGGGGTGGAGGGGAGAGAAGAAGATGCTCATGTTCGTGTGATGTCGTGACACAAAGAAATTGGGAAAAGATGATGAAAATTTTGGTGGAGTTAAAGTGAAATGAGTAGTTTTTAAACATTTTTCCTGTCCTTTTTTTGCCCTCCCCCCATCTTCTTCCTTTATCGTGTCTCAAGGTAGTTGCATACCTAGTCTGGAGTTGTGATTTTTTCCCCCAAAATGTGTTTTTGTAATTACTCTTTCTTTTTCCTGAAATTCGTGATTGCAACAAAGGCGGAGGGGACGGGGCGGGGGAGGGGCAGGAGGACCCGCTCCGGAAGGCGCTGTGGAAGCTTGTCGGTCTTTGAAGTCTGGAAGACGTCTGCAGAGGACCCTTTTGGCAGCACAACTGTTAACGCTAGGGAGTTGGTTGGAGATTTTTTTTTTTAATCTTAAGAGATCTTAAAGAACTGTTTTTTTTTTTTTAAGAAACAAACAAAAAAGGGACCATTGCAACTTTATTTTATTTTATGTTTTTTTTGGAGGGAGAAAACTGATGTCTTCTATGCATCCGATTCTTAACAAAACTGCAGGGAGCTTGAAAAAATGCAGACTGTACAAACGCTTACAAAAAAAACTGTGAACTGACTTAAGATCAGAGTTTACTTTTCAGATCAAATTGTTTATGGTTTTGCAAATGTGATTTCTACTTGCCAACTTTTTTTTTGTAACTTGTTCCCTTATACCTCCTTGATTGAATACCAGACAGCCTAGACCTCAGTACAAAAGGTATTGAAACATTTTTGATACATAACAGACCTCAGTCTTTTTTAAAAATTAATATATTTTCAGGCGTATTTTTGTACAGTGAAAAGGGAACATTCTTGCTGTGTTTTTTCAGTAAGACTTTCAGGCACTTCTTCCCTTTTGATTTCCTTTTTTCCTCTTTTTTAGCATGCAAGTATGTTGGTACGTTATGTCCTGGTTTAAAAAGGATTAACATTTTAAAATAATCCTTGCATCTAAAGGCCTTGTGGTTTAAAAAAAAACAAACTTTTTTTTGTACAGCTATAGTAGAGATTTGTTCAATATTTGTAGGTAAAGATTTATTGAAAATGGTGATATAGACCTCAGAGCTGTTATCTTAGTTTAAAGATTGTATATGTACTGTACTATAGTAGGACTTTATGTATCTCATACGCTGTGATATGTGGATGGGGGCCCCAGATGGAAGGTTTGAAACTGGATTCTCGATTTTTAGCAAAAAAGAAAAAAAGGCACATAGTTTAAAAAGTTTCTCATTTCGTGCAATATAATCTAAATAAAGTACAGACCATCTGCGTATTTTGTAGCAAATGGTGGCAAAGCAGACTCAATGCACTGTCGACATCATTGCCTGTTTTTTTTTTTTTTTTTTTTGTGCTGGAAGTCTGTATCTTGACAATTTTAATAAATCAGCTGGAACTGATAGAAACTTCATCGCCAATAGTCTCTATGGAAGTCAAACTGGAGGTTCTGTTGTCGCAGCGCATTCAGTGACGAGGCTGTAGTGAGCGCGGGTGGGAGGTGGGCGTTAGACTGCAGGGTGCTCCGGGGGCAGGCCGAGCTCGGCGAGGGCGAGCTACCAGACCCGGGGAGGAGGCTGCTTCCTCCCCGCCTTCCCTCCCCCCTGCGCTCCAGTTTCCTTTCTCACCTCCTCCTCCGCTCCCTCCTGTCCCCACCCTTCCTGGCTGGCGGCGGGCGTGGCGGGGACCCGGGCCAGCGCGCGACCGGTGTCCTCGCCGGGCGTGTGCGTTCTGCGCGCAGGGCTGCGCGTCGCGGTGACAGGCGCCCTCGGCCGCGAGCGAACCTCGCCGCCCCCCTGGACAGGGTGCGGATAGCCGTTTCCAGTTGTGAATTTTTCTTTTTATGTGGACCCTGCATCTCCGCGTGTGCGCCGAGGTCGATGCCGTGGGGACGCGGCCACAGTTCTGGCCTCCAGCGGTGACGGGGGCTGCGGAGAGGTGGTCGGAGTCTGTGTCTGCCCGGTTCCTCGGGGCGGGGAGCTCGGTCCCCGATGGCGCTCGGAGGACGGCCAGGGCGCGGCGAGTGGCCGAAGGCGGCGGGAGGGACACGCCGCCGCCACTGCGATCGAAGCCGGGGCCACGCGGGTGTCTGCACTGGCCGAGCCGCCAGTGGGGCCGCGGAGGGACCGAGGGCGTCTGAACGGCGGCCCGGGAGACGAGGGGTAGAGCCACGCGCCCCTGGGACTGGGCTTTCCTTGCCCGGCCGCGGCAAGCGCCCGGCGCACCCCGCCCCGGGCCCTGGCGGTGCCCCGGGCCCGCGGGCCGTGGGGCGGGGGGAGCAAGCTTACCCGGGCCGGAGGTTTCCGGCGCGCCTGCTCTCCGGCCGCCCCGGGATTTGCCTCCGGGCGGACTGCCTGCGGGAGGCGGCTCGGCGTTTGGATCGTTCTCCTCGACCCCTTCCGAGGGGCCCGGGCGACGGCGCGGGCAGGACCCCGTCCCCCGCGCTCCGTGCGGCGGGGGCCGTCCGCCCGGCCGTACCGCCCTCTTGCCCCTCGCAGTTTCCCATACCCGGCCTCCGTCTCGGAGCGCGCACCCTGGCCCCGGCCCCGGCCCCGGCCCCCTTCCCGCCCTCGGCCGCCTCTCTCGGAGCCGCGCCTGGGTGGCGGCGAGGCCACGCGGGGGTCGGCGCGCCAGCCTTCGAGCTCGGCCCCTGCGAGCCGCGGCGCCTGCCCGTGGGGGAGGTTTTCCGTGGCTAATTGAAACTCGGTGCACATCACATACCACTTCTAAGCCTACTGAAATGGTTCACCAGCGTTTGGCCTCCATTTTTTTTGAGGTTTGGCGAGCTCAGATGGAAGCACCCGCCCGCTCCCAGGAGCTGCTAGGCCGAAGGGGCCCCTGCACCCTTCCTGCCGCCCCTCCCGCTCTCCTGTGCCGCCCTGGCCCCCGCGCTCCGAGCGCCGGCCTCCCCCAGCCTTCCTGGGCTCCGGGCGAGCCTCCACCCAGCCCCCACCTCGGGATGCGGAGCCAGCAAGCTTCTGCGGCAGATGGATGGATTTCTTTTTTCCATGGCTTTTTCGTTTCGATAAACCATCAGATCTTAGTCCTAAACTTGGGAAAAGAAAGGGCTGGTGGTAATAAGGTTCTCAATATAGAACTGGATTTCTGGAGTTGTTTACCTGTTTTTGTTTTTTTCTGTTTTTCCCAAATGATAGACTAATGTAGTCATTGGTCGAACGTTTATTTTAGCCACGTATAATTGAACCAGCGGTTTACAATTGACAATTCTCTGTGCTGGGGATTTTACGTGGCGGCCCTCTGCTGCAGTTCTAAAACTTGTTGAAAACACAAGCCCATTTGTAAGACCGAGTCTATGTATTTTGAAACTCTGGAAACTTTGCATGTGTTTTATGTTTTTAATCATACATGAATCTTGGACATTTTCTGTGGTGAGGTAGAAACTCTAACTAAATTAGCAACGTAATAATTTGGCCTCAGAATGGAAACAATCTTGATTAAAAGAGAAAAAAAGCTACGTAGCCTAAGTTGTTGATAGTAAAATAAGAGAAAAAAAAAAATAGATGGTCAGCGACCTAAATTAAAAACCTGTTAGAACTCAGGACAGGCGCTTGAATGCGCTTTTAAACATTATTTAAGGCTGTTTTGATGAATGCATTGTGAAAATCATTCATAGTGAATTTTTTATTGAATGTCTAAACAGTATAATACACAAGGTATTCTGGCCACTGGATAGTCTTCAATAAAAGTTTAATTGCATTTTTTTTTTTTGGAGATGGGAGTGGGGGTGGGGGGTTGGGTGCGCTGCAGCCTAGCCAGTGGGTATCCTGCTGTTTGTAACTAGCTCACAGACTTCGATGATGGCGTTTTAGTAAAATTTCCATCTTTCCAAACTTGAACCAGCATTCTCTTATTAATTCTTTAAACTGTGGAAATAATTTTCCAGTTCTTACATTCTGATATGCATCCCTGTTATTTAAAAAAATGCTAATAAAAGGCAGTGTGTTTAAACTGTGCTTTGCAAATATTATGTATGTTATGAATGACTACAGTCACAGGGCAAATTATTTGTAGAATGATTATCCTTTAGCTAGAAGAAAAACCATTCCATCCTTCGGGCAGAGAGGTTTCTTTTTAATGTTAATCAAGGGGAAGTGATTTAAATATGCATGCTTATAGCAGGATGATTTAGTTGTTTTTTGTTTTTGATTTTTTGAGAAAGAGACTCAAAAGGCCAAGACTTCTTTTTCTCTTCTCTGGGAGTTGAAACCACAATCATTTGCTATTGGTCCAGTGTAAGAAACTTAACATTTGTTACTCACTTGAGAATTTAAATAGCTTTGCCCAAGGAACCTGAGAGGAAGCAAGAATTGCTCTATTTTTAAAGTAGTCATTCAATATAAATATATTATATCAATCTTAACTTTTTTATTCTCTGATATGATTAATAATATGTATATTCTTACTTTTTCTTCTAATGGGCATATGTATCCTTGTGGACACTTTGGAGAGTGGTTTTCTCGGACTCTCCCTTTATAGAACCTTTATACTCTTACTGCGTGGTCCCCTGCTTTTAACAGATTTCTGAGGCAATTATATTTGTGCTTTTTTCTTATGTAGGAAAACCAGCGAAAATAGTTTACTGAGTTGTCAATTTTATCGGTAGATAAAAAAACTTTCTTTATTACAGCTTCAGGGAAGATTTTTTCAGGATATTTCTCAGTTATTCTAAGGGCCAAATTTTATAAAATTTCCATTAAGAATGTCAGTTTCAAACACCCTTTGTATAGCCTGGGCCTGTGAGGATACCAAGTCTGAGCCTTATGTGTCCCAACACAGGAATTTACGAGTTCCCAAGGTGACCGTCTCCATGTAATGACTCTTGCACATGCTTCTCAGAGATTTGGGTTATTTTAATTACTGGTTCTTTATCATTATTCATTTATTTGACTTATTCTACCATACCATCTTTTATTTGATGATTCAGCAACTTATGCTCTTTGATAACTCCAATTTGGTTTTTTTTTCCTTTTTTGTTTTCTTTTTTGCCTCTTTCTGTGGAGCTGACATTTTCAGTCACAATAAAATTAAACAAAATTGAGTGAAGTCAACTCTTCCATTTTACTTTGTTTACTGGCTTTTTTCTTGAATCCTTAACATACTTTCATCTTTTTTCTTCATTGTAGTTATTTTTGTTAACACTACCTATATCAATTAGCTGCCTAATTTTATCTATTCCATGTGGATGCAGTGAGTTTATAAGAGAATTTCACAAACAAGTAGTTTTTTAGTGAACTTAAGCAGAATTTTAAAGGAGACCTATTTTTATACTCAGTAAAAGCACAAAGGTGCAGAAAGTATAAAATGGCTTGCAAAGGGAAACCTAGGTTCATAATATTCCATGTATAAAAGTAATAATTTTATTGGGTAGAGATACTCTTGAAAGATTCAATACCTCTGCCAGTGCACAGATGGGACTGTTCTAAGTGACTTGCCTGCAGTTAAACGATCACTTCTCTGTAGAGAAAACAAACCACAAAAAGCAATAGGACCGAGTTGCAATTGATGAATCGAAACAACCTGGACGTGTGCACGTGGGGGCTTTCTTCTCATGGTTTGATCAAACTTCTTTTATGTAGTCACATAGACTTGGGTTTTCTCTGCTGTGAAAAATGACAAAATAAAGCAATATGACCAAAAGCTCAAATGCGTAAAAAATATTTACTCTAGGGTCCTTGAAGTGACTTGGTTGCTGACATTATTTTAATAGACATCCTACATTCCCTCTTCACAGAAAGAAGAGCAACTGGAAATAATGTACCATAGAAAGAATTTTGATCAAATAGATACCGACAAAGGGCCCTCTAAGACATTTCCTTCATCCAGCTTATGTTCAAGATCATAATGCCCCACCCCTTGAATCACAGAGGGAGAAACGTTAAATGCCATTACCATTAATTTTGCATTTTGTCTACTTTTACTCTTGTACATATGTTGTGGGTTTAAGAGTCTTTTGCATTTGTTCTGTGACACCATTTTTTAAATGGACTTTTAAAATGGAGGCCTCCTTTTCTGGTTTGGGACTCCTAGTGGGTATGACATCCCACAAGGCCTCATGGTGGCCCCAGGACAGAACCACGTGATGTTTTAGAGCAGTTTTCAGCATGACACTGTTAACAAGTCTTATTTTCCAAGGCCACGTGAAACTTACTTTCATAGCCACTCCAGGTTTGGGAGCAGAAAAGCTGAAAAACCCTTTTGTTTAGAAGTCTGAGTGGTTTGTGGGGGGGGACCTTTTGTAGAGTTTGCATGCCAGCGCACGCCCTGATGCGGGGACACGGAGAGGAGGAGGTGCTCCCTGCAGCGATGTG